TAAGCATACAAATCTCCAGAGTCGGACCATGGACTTGCTACATTCTCAGACGTATCGCCAGCATCGTAGTCAGCATCATCAGTGTGTCTTGCAATCCCCTGCACCAAACAATAACTCGTCAAAAAGATAAGTACAGTCAATCCCTTGACGAACTTTCTGCCGAAACTGAGAGAAAAATCAGCATACGAATTAATGAGCATAAAAGGCTCTGCAGGAAAATGGATACTGCAAGATCAGATATCGCAGACTGGACACGATATCAACATAAATAAGGAATTAAGCAAAACTGGATTTCGAAGAATTCCTCAATCAAATATTGTGGCATGACTCTCCATTTCGAAAGGAAAGTTGGTTGGAAGGATTTCGTGATATTGTCACCCTGGCAACCGAATGAGGGCTGTCGCATAAGGAAGACCGTTGAATTATACGAAGAAGTCCTCGGCTCACCGTTCTGCGCTAAGCTTTCGTCTGTACCACCGTGACAGTCATAATCAGAGCAGGACTCGACACTTCACGAACTAGAGCAAAAATATACTAAACAAGAGAAGAAGGTGGCCGGCTGCAATCCTAGTCGCTATTTTATAAACCCGAAATCGCGATCTCAATGAGGCCTCCCCTGATTCGCTTGGCTACTTCAATCGTGCTCGACATGCTTGCAAGTGATTAAAGTTACTTCCCGAACCGAAAGTGCATCAGTTGGCAGCTGTTAATCACACAAAAACTAGCCTATGATCGTCCAATACTGAATCATGTTTGGGCTTGTGCTAGTGTCTGTTGCGTATGCTCAATTTGTGGCTATTGGATAGAGTTAAGAAAAGGGAGAGAGAGAAGGTACAGGAATAGCCACTGAGCAAGAAAAGGAGGCTTGATTAGTTTCGAGTCTAGTTTGGAATATCACACTTCCCATGACATAAGCATTGCATGCACACAATAACCAATAGCCCCCGAACGCATTTCCGGTTCTGGAAGTTAACTTCACTTATTCGCAAGCATGTCGAGTAAGCTTGAAGTAGCCGACCAAATCAGGGAATGTCTCATTAAGATCGCAATGTTGGGTGTATAAAAAGCGACTAGGGTTGCAGCCGGTCAGCATCGTCACTTGGTTTAGCATATTTTTGCCATAGTTCGTGAAGTGTCGAGTCCTGCTCTGATGATGTCTGTCACGGGGGTACAGACGAAAGCTTAGCACAGTTTCATCGGGGTTTCAACAGTCTTCCTTACGCGACAATCCTCATTCGGTTTTCGGTTTCCGGTTAGACCGCATCACGAATTCCTTCCGACCAACTTTCCCTTCGAATGGGGGGTCATGCTCCAACAAAAATATGGGCCTTTTACAGTGCAAGCTCATAGAAACGGAGGATTATGGAGACCATTGACATACGTAGGGGAAAAAATTTAATAGACAAGAGATTGGGAGAATGCAGAGTTAGTGATAATTTTTCCACTTGCCTAGTCAAACTTGGAGGAAACAGGGATGCAGCAAGACAAACAAAAAGGAGACGCCTGGATCAAGGATCTGTCGTAAACAAGAAGAAATCGGATCGCAAGGAAGAAGAATGTGGGAAAGTGTTCTCAGCGAGTGTATTCAGCTCGACGTTTCACGTGACTAGGGAAAGGGATTGTGTCGGAAATTGGGCATTATGACCAAATTGACTAATAATCCACTTGATACGCAACAGGCAACCAAACAAAAATGTCCACAGTTTGTTCGGGGTACACTGGCTTAATTGAGAAGATGACGCGAGGAAATCAAAGCTTAGAGGCTCTCCAGATGAGGTGACAGTGCACATGCTACTGAAGGCTTGAGAACTAACGCCTGTAGTAGAAGGTACACTGGGATTGGAACCGAGTTAAATCGGTCAACCATAAAGATGGGAAACTGATCTACAGGACCATGCGGCAGATCCGGACAGAAGGCTAGAGCAAGATCAAACAGTCGAAAGGGAGCGGAGCAAGGTAAACAGCAGCTGTGGTGACGCCACGGTAAATCCGCCAGAAGAGCATACCTCTTATGGAATATAAACACATCAGAAGTTTTGATAGGACAAAGGCAAGACAGGAGGGTGGGAAATGGATAGAGGGACCAGGACAGAACAAGGAGTGATAGCACAACGTCTCGACACTTGTCTCTTTTGGCGAATTTTAGCTTGGTTTGCTGAGACGATGCCGGCGAAACATATGGGAATGTACCAAGTCCACAGTCCGATTCTGGAGATTCTCATGCATACTATGGACTCCGGAAAAGATGCTTTCCTCTAGGTCTTCTTGCCAACATGACCAAGTTGCAAAAACAGGACCATATGACTACTATGAAGTAAGTATAGTTTATGCAAAACTACACTCATATAAGTTCGTTTGTCCCATATAAACACATCATATGAAATACCGTATTGGCGTCTGGGTCATATGAAGGATTTTTATGCATTGAAGATGCACTACTTAAATTGAAATCGAATCAAGAGTACAGCTCAGACTGGGATGAGCAAAAGTAGCACAATATTCTGCTGAAAAGCACATTCCGAAGCGTTTGGCATCAAAAATTTAATATCTGTTTGCTAATTTTATGATTACATTTAAAGCAGGCAAGTGCGTTTTGTTGATATTCTGTGGAGTCAAAAAGTGCGATTGGAATTATTTAAGATTGCTGGAGGAAAAAATGTCTTTTCTTGGATGTTTTGTGCTAAAAACGTTAAATAGTGGCCGTAGAGGGAGGCCAAATGGGTTATTTACTGCCAAAATCAGAAACAAGCCCTATAGTTTTTAGGTTGGGCATGCCAGGATAAATGATAGTTTGCCGAATGGATGGATGATTTTGGACAGTTGCTGGCCTTGCACACCTTACAAAGCAGAAGGCTGGTATCCTTTAAGAGGTCGGCTTGTTCTTAAATGACCTTTTGAAGGCACTACCGTTCGCAAAGCCCGATTTATACTTTAGCGGACAGTGGCATGGACTTCTAATCTGAGGCTCGCCAAAAGGCAGTCCAGGTTGGCGGTATTCGACGGACACCTAAAATTTCGCCATTCATTACAGAGCCGGTTAACTGCAGTTCAGATGACAAACATGACAATTTCGCAAGAGGAAATTAAAAGAAAGTTGATGCTTTGCAGCTGGTATCTGTCTTTTGGTGATAGTTAAACTTCAGATTATTCCTAACAGAATTGGTTCAGTCAATGCTCGGTAGAGTGGAGTTATAGAAATGTTACTAAATCGATTGCATTTTTCCATCAAAGGAAGATTATCTTTATGCTTATTTTCGATACAAACAAACAAAATCCAGGCAAAAGTTTGATCCCTGTATCATGTTTTCTTTGGGGATTGTGCTATAAAGTAGCTTCTTTAACTAAATCTATCTGTCAATGACGAATTTAGGAAGGCTCATTACGAAATCTTCGAGGTCGGATGAATATGCTCTATGGACGACAGCCCAGAGGCCATCTTCAATAAAGTCCTAGTGAAACCAGCCTGGCAATACATCCAACCGAAACTTTCATAAAAAATTAAAGAGACGACTAAAGGTTTATAAGTCCATTCTGCCATCCTCCAAAGTGTAGATCAGCTCTGTCTGGATTGTAGTGCCTAAGGATAAGCTGAGATCTACTACGTCCAAATCGGCTCGCATAGTTCTGGGGCATTCCTTCTTCGTTTTCCAGTAAAGCCATGCAGAGTATCGCACCGCTTCAACTTTGCATACACAATGATATCTGCCAACAGGATTGTCGGTCCCAGTAATTCCGTCGGAAACGCCATAAAAGAAGTTTGTTTTCATAGTTGGAGGATAATTTTAAATGTTAACATTTCTTAATGCTTCTCGAAACTTCATTTTCCATGCTTACTCTCTTATTCGCGGTAACAAATCGGTTGCTAAGGCTGATATACAAAATTGGAATTCTATCATTCAGTATCTAAATTGTTTAAGAAGAATGATGTCTAGTCGACTAGTTCACACATCACGGATTACTGGCTTGTCCTAGACGATATGAAGGTGCTGTGTTCGTAAGAAGGACCTGGACTGTCTCTAAAATATAAAACGCTTGCCCTCTACAACCCCAAAGATGAAGGTCCTTAAAAGAAGAAAGAAAAGGAACAAATAGTTTTACCAATTGTACTATTTAGAAGCGGCCGAATACAGGGGAGCTGACAATCATTAAAATATGGCGTCAAATAGAACATTCTAAACCCTGTGGGCACAATAGAGCGGAGGAAGAGAAGGAAAAGGACGTGACCGATTTAAACAGAATATTAATTAGAAGTTGTTTGACCTTGTTTTCGCAACTTGGTCATATTGGTAGGAAGACTAAGAGGAACGTACTTAGCCCGGAGTCCATTGTATGTTCAACAAGAGACAAGTCTTGTCTCTTTAACAAGTTGTAATATGGTGCTACGAATGGCGAGACTCACTGATGATGCCGACTACGATGTCTGGGAATGTACCAAGTCCACTGTCCTACTCTGGAAATGATGATGGACTCCGGACAAGGTGTTTTCCTATAAGTCTTCCTACCAATATGACCAAGTTGCGAAAACAAGGTCAAACAACTTCTAGCTAACATTCTGTTTAAATCGGTCACGTTCTTTTCCTTCTCTTCCTCCGCTCTATTGTGCCCACTGGGTTTATAATGTTCTGTTTGACGCCATATTTCAATGATTGTCAGCTCCCCCGTACTGTATTCGGCAGCTTCTAAATAGAACAATTGGTAATACTATTTGTTCCTTTTATCTCTTTGTTTCAAGGCCTTCATCTTTGGGAATGTAGAGGGCAAGCGTTTTATATTTTAGAGACAGTCCACGTCCTTATTAGGAACACAGCACCCTCTCTGGAAATGATGATGCATACAATG